ACTCAGAGGGGGAGTCCAGGTCCCGGTACACATTACCTATAAGAAGTCTAGCCCACTGATGTTAAATAAATCCAACCCTTTCCACTCTGTCTCTTTCTAATCATACTATCTGTCTTAGTTGTTAAATGCCATGTAAACAACATAATTAATGTCTACTTATGATATTACAAAAACTCACTCCAAAAATTGTTTCATCCATTGTTACATATTTACCCAACACAACTCTGAAATACTTACATGTTTCCAGCATCACATATTCCACACACTATGAAAGAACATCTCCATATCTTCTCTCATTTTACATCCCACTGTTACTTCGAACAATAGTAAACCTGCAGAGCACACCAATCGGATCACAGTAATGAAATTTGAATCAAGTGTAGGCCTATGTCTTCTTTCTGAACATTTATTTATATTGTCTAAATTTGCAAACAGTTCGAGTGTAAAATGTGTTTTGCACAATGTATTTACACTACAGATTCTTGAGTTTACTCATCTCCTGGTGCTGTCGTTGTAAAAAATGTTCAATCCCTTATTGTTTTGTACCAGTTTTCCAAAATCCGTTATAATTAATATACTGGGAACGTGCTTCCCGTCTTCAATACCGGCCAGCAATGTAATGATTAAACTCTAAGCTCGCATAAGTTTCAAGGGTGTGATACCCCCTTTCAGCCACTAGATGGCAGCAGCAGAAGTTTCAAGGGTGTGATACCCCCTTTCAGCCACTAGATGGCAGCAGCAGAAGTTTCCAGACAAAGGGAAACGCTCTACCTTGGTTTAATATATAACAGACCTCTGGCTTTAAGCTTTTAGCATTGGTCTGTTATTTAAACCCCAGTTTTTAACGGCGACTCGATCTGATTTATCGAGTTTCCAGGTTTTGTCGTGCAGGAATCAAACCTCGCATAACAAACTGCACCATCTCTACGCCACTCAGGAATAATCTACCTGCAGATCCACGCCAAACTGCTCTATTTTACGTCACGCAGGACTTTCGTCTACCTGTCGATCAACGTTTACGTTTTGTATATAACTTTCCTAACATAGTAAAATATGCATTGTATATTCCATTTAAACTATAAAAACACTGTGAAACGCCTACAGACAATCCTAAAGTTTTAGCGTATCCAATTACAGACAGGCGACTTTCATCGTCTGCTTACCTTATTTGCAAAGTTGCAGAGTCCTGCTGATTGTCTGAGATGTTTGAAAGCGTCTGAATTCTTCCTCAGCTTCGTTATCTCTAGACGTCGGGGTCACCATTTTGTTAGGGATTTGAAGGGATAACTGGTCCGCTTTTCAAATCTCCGCGCGTTCCTATGAAGCTGGTTATAATACAGGAAGGAATCCATATCTACAAAGTAACCGTTAACAATAATCTACTTTAATGGCAATATGACAATGCAATACAATCATTACAATACAACATGATATATTACAGTTATATTGTAATGCTTAAGGAGTAATACCGGCTTACTCCTGCCCTGGTTCGCATACTGCAGAGCTACTTTCACCCGAGGGCAGCATGTGAAGAAGAGGCCGAACGCCAGGGATCCACCGGATATATACCAGAGTAAGAAGGAGGGGTTAGGGGTTAGGTCAGCTGGTCATCTTTTCAGGTCATCTCATTGGGAGACGCAACGCTGGCCAGCAGGAAACCAAACAGGCTCACTTTACAACAAAAGGTCTCAAGGCCTGCATACCTACACCTCCCCCACAGAGCAATAAAACCCTGTTTACTCCAACCAGCCCAGAATGTTTATAGCCATTTGTAGTCCTTACATTTATGAAAGGATAAAACAGAGAAATCAATATAAAACACAAACACAGGTATTGTTTGAACAGTATTCACTTAACTGCTACTATTGATAAGCACCAGAGAAACCCAAGGGACCTCTCTTAACATCACAACCACTGTAGCTCGTTCTAAGTTGAATGCAAATCAGGACATGCTCTCACCTTCCCCCCATCTTCCTTTGTCCTCAAAAACACATGTCAACAGGCCCCAAATGCAGCTCACAGTTTTACCCAAATTATTCCCATTTTAAGCTTATCCATAGTTTGCTAACATGAATAAATACAAATATAACTCTACAACGGCTCCTTATGGGTGCTGCAATAGGCTACATGCACAGTCACTTCCGCATTCTACTCATAGCGGCCGATTCATTTCCTGTTTGAAAATGACGACCTTCTACACCCGCTGCCTACAAGAGCTTCCGAAATTAAAAATGTCAGATGTTCATCGGATTTGCCGGACGACTAAAGCCCCAGCCAGCAAACTCGATAAAGGCTTCAAATTATATGCTGCGTCATATATACACAACTATGAAGGTAAGAAGGTAACCGGTACTAACCAGCTAGCTTATGCTCCGGGTTACGCTAACATTAGCTGTCAAAAGCTAGGTAACGCCAGAGCCCTATAGTATAACTACTATTATTATTATTAATATACTACTACTATAGTAGACTACTATAGGGCTCTGGGTAACGCTATGTACTGTTTCTGGTGTTAATTCTTTAAAACATTAGCCATTTTGCTAACAAATACTATCGTTTAATAGCCTTATAGCCTAGCCAAGGTTGTCTTGTTGTTAGCCACACTGCATAATGGTATCAGCTTTTGTAAAGCAATGTTGCCATAGATGTGTTGACGTGAGTATAGATCTAACGCTGTTGCTCTGTTTTTCTTCATTCAGTGTCCAATAAAGACAGGCTGACAGGGCAGGTCAGCGTGAGAGCCTTGTGCTACAGGTCAATGCGGAAGAGCGAGACAGCACACAGTTTGAGTGTAGGCAGGCAGCATTGACACTGTTCCCCCCTGTTTATTGAGTTTCAGTTCAGTTAAACATTAGTTTACCTTAAGGGAATCTCAACAGTGTCCTACTTCTCCCTGCTTTATCACAGCTGATTGGTCAGATATTATTACATTGATTATGGATGTGTAAGTTTGGGGGTTCAAATATATAGTAAAAACTGCTTTAATACAATTTTCAAGGCATCTTAGTTTCCAAAGAAAGTTCATTGTGGTATTGTAGGGTAAGAGGGTAACACTAAGCATTCAGGAATACATGCTTCTTCTAGGATAATGGGTCAGTAAAAATAACCAATAATTCTACTCATAATAACCTCCTGGCTCATAGTAACAAGTGAGGTTACTAATCACTAGTATTTCTTCTCTCTTTTTTAGATAACGCTTCGTGATTCATCACCAGTGGTGCTCACGCACAACCAGTGCTCCTGTGTTGCAGGAACTGTTTTGTGCAATCACACAGTAGCATTGCTGTTCCAAACAGCACACTACACTGAACTGAACATGCCAGTTGTGCCACCTGTGCATGCCAGTTGTGCCACCTGTGCATAGCTGTACTGAATCGGAACAGCAATGGCACAAGCCGCGAACAATGGTAATTTCAATGAGGTTCAAATACTTGTAATCTTTCACAGAGTTTTTGTTTTAAAGTGACTCAACGAACAGTAATTGTCTTTTCCTTAAGGGTGTGAAGCCAGGGCCCATCAACTCCATGGTCTTCACCAAGCCTGTACCAAATAGGATGGTGCAGACTGGAGTAAGGTAATTTTAGCTGGAAAATTGTGTTTCCTGTGTTTTTAAAATTCATAATTCTGGTGCTGTATTCCTAACCTTTATTGTCACATTAATGTGCTATATTGTCTTTGCCATTCTTTGTAGGAGTGGATTCTACAGAGGCATGGTGGGGCCATTACCAGATCCCTGCCTGTTCAGAGTTACGGAGGCATACTCAGCATTCAGCATTGAAGACAGGCCGCTTGTGACCACAATGAACATGAGACCTGACAAGCCCCTTGTGGAAAGTGCCTTCGGGATTGTGCAGGAGGGCAGTGTTCTGTCCTATCAGATGCCTGCTTTGACGTCTCGGTACACCACACTTCACACTGACACACCACCAACACCCCACTTGCCCATAGAGTGGTATGTGATCTTGCCATGTGATTTACCGCTGGTGTGCTCAGAAGAGGAGCAACTACATATGAACAGCTTATCTGTTGATTTGGAAATGTCTCACAAAATTGAGGAGGCTACCCGTGAGCAAAGCTCTAGCTCAGAGTGGCATCTGCTCCGCAAACCCAGGGTTACTGCCTCTAGGTTTAGAGAGATTTGTCACGTCAGCGGTGAGAGCTCTGCTAACTCTCTTGCAGAGCGAATACTCAAAGGTACAAGGCAGACTGCAGAAATGAGGAGAGATGCCGAGATGGAGCCCACAGTAGCAGCTGAATACAGTAGACTGGCAAACGTGAACTACTCCCCTTGTGGCCTTGTCATTCACCCCTCTACGCCCTGGCTTGGTGCCTCCCCTGATGGAGTTGTTTTTGACCCAACAGAATATCCCCAATTTGGCCTTGTTGAATTAAAATGTCCCAATGTCCCAAATTATGTCGACTGCAAATATGTGCAGATGGAATGTGGCTCCCCTAAGCTCAAGAAAAGCCATGCCTATTACTGGCAAGTACAGGGTCAACTTCTTGTATCTGGGATGCAGTGGTGTGATTTTGTAGTGTGGGCACAAGAGGACTACCTGGTGCAAAGAATATGCACAGATCCAGAAGTGCAAAGAGCAATCAGAGAAAAAGTAGACTTTTTATTTTTTTACACATACATGCCGAAGTACCTGTCATTAAAAAAGTAGTGGGCACTGTAGCCATTGTTAACTCTGTAAGCAGTTAGCTGCTAGACCCTGGCTCAGCCGTCATTGTTTTTAGGAGGCAATCCCTCAATCATGTGTTCTGAATGACAACAAAATGTGATTTCAATATTTTGTTTTTGATATATATTGTTTGTCACATTTCATATATGTAAATACATATACAATTGTATTTAAAAAGAATAAAGTGAAGTGATTTGTGTAATGAATAGTAAATCAGTGCATTTGTAAGAAATCATCAACGCATTGTAATTTGCTATTTACCATTTATTCAAACAAAACATTAGCGTGTGTCAGGCAACACGGGATTACGGTGTGCTCACACAGCTTAATCACAGCTACCTGCACAGGTGTCATCATCTTGTCTTATTTCACCCATTTCTTGACCAGTGCTTTGTTCTGATAGTTTGACAGCATACATGCTACTGCAAACAGTTGGTTGATGTTGTAGGCATGGGACAGGAGGATGACACCATCAAAAAGTTTGTTCTCTTTTATCCTCCTAATGACACGCTCCACATGAACCCTCAGTCTGGCAATGGCCTGTGTCTCCCTCACCTGATAGGCTGGCATTTGCTTCTGCTTTGACAGAAAAGGTGGGCAGTACACCTTGCATTTGCAGCAATCGCTGATCAGGAAGCCCTTATCTACCATCACTGCCATGTTTTCAGTCAACAACGCAGCTATTCCAGATTGTTTGAAAATCTCCTTGTCGCTGACAGAACCACCATACAGACTGGAAACAAATGTCACTGCGCCATGTGGGGCTATGCCAACCAGGGCTTTCATGGTGCAGTGAGATTTGTATGTAGAATACATTTCACTTTGGAGGAGGAGTGAGGATGGTGTTTGACACCTCAGCTCTGTGCAATCCAGGATCACCTGTGTGTCTGGGAAATCTTTGAATGCCTCTGGGAGGTGGGCTTGAACTTCTGCAGGTGTAAGCCAGATGCACTGTGACCCCAATAAAGTTGTAAGAAAACTCGTCCATGTTGCAATGATGCGGCTCACAGTGGACTGGTGTACGTTGAAGCGGTTTGCAAGGTCCCTCTCTTTCAAACCCACCGACAGGAAGCAGAGAAAAAGGAAGAACTCGTCAATTGGCTGAAGCAGCTGTCTCTGGAAGATAAACAAAAAAAGGGTACTATATTAATGTCATGAGTGTAGCACACCATGGGAAAAACATTAAGTTGTTTTAGTTCTCTGATGTATTCAAAAAGGATTGAGTACTATAGCCTTTTAGCCTACACGAAAGCAATGAAATGTTGGAGAAACATTTTCCCTTCAGTTTGTGTTTAGATTGTGTGTTACAAGAAACGTAGCCTACCGTTGATGGACGTGCGTGTGTAACCACTTCTTCATTCCTCTTGGCAGCTGATATCGCTCTTGTAACACGAACCATTTTATAAATGGAAGGCTCAATCAAAAACCAGAAGGCCATCAGGTGGTTATAGCTCGGGAATCTGTACACAAAAGACACATGTCAGTCATTAATTGACTCGTTAACTGTAACACATGGGCTAATGCTTTCCTCTTGTTTGCTATAATACATTACAATTCAAATAGACTGATTAAGAAGGCACTTGGTGCAGGTATAGTAATATACAGCAGTAACATGTAACAACTACATTAAAGCAGCAGTAATAATAATCTAAAACATACAGGGAACATTTTACACAGAATGACTACTTTTACTCTTCATTCTTAAGTGTGCAACTGGGAGAAACGCAGTGGATATTGACATGTACTTTTACTTTGGTAAGGTTTTGAAGATTTCCACTTGTAGTAAAGTATTATCAGTATGTTGTTAGTATTAGTATGTTTTACTCCACCACATTTAGTTAACCTTCATAGTTTCTAGTTACTTATGAAAACACATGATTTATGATTCTACATGTTCAGTTCAGGAGTATTTTCAAACCATAGTATTTGTACTTATACTTCAGTTAAGTTGAGTAGCCTACTTATTCCAACACTGCATGCAAATAGTCAGCAGTCAAACGGCAGGTAAACAGGATTCTTTATAAGCTAACCCATCTCAAAAACTTGGATAGAATTTAGCCAAAACATTACCTGGTATAGAATCGGATGTTGTCGTCGGAGCCAGCAAACCGCTGTAAGCAAAACTCTCGCTGGACTCTTAACTCCTGCAGTTGCTTCTGCAGATCCTCCAATGTTTTGGAGTTGTCTTCTGTAGCTTGAGAGGACATGTCCAGTGAAGCTGGTTCAGGGGTTGAGCAGTAATCATGGTCACGGACATCGATGTGCTCTTCCTGCTCCTCCCGAGAGACTGGTTCAGTGGGCCGCTCTCTTCTCTCCCAAACACTAGCCCGCGGTGTTTGAGCAGTGAAGTGATTCCACTCAAACAGTGTTGGGACAGCACCTTTCACAAGCCTCCTACGGCCATCAAGGGTTTTTGGCTCTATTAGTTGATCCGTAGCGAAGTGACGACTGCAGACCTTGGAGTGAGAGGAGATTGTAAAGTTATCGCGTCGTATTTTAACCAGCCACTGTCTTCGCAGCTCGAGTTAAAACTTAGGACGCCGTTGAATTTAGCTGACGCCGTACAAAGTGGGACACAGCAGTGCTCGGAGTAGTTCTTTACTTGTCTTTGCAAATGCTCCGTTTTGAAAATATGCCGTCGACTCATATTTAAACCACAGATTTAAACAGTAAAACATTTGTGGACGCTCAGCTACGCAGACCAGAAGCAACCCGGAAGCGTCCGAGCAGTATAACGGCTAAGGCGGAAGTACGTCTCAGACCCTAGTGCATGTAGCCTATTTCTGAAGTGCTGGAGCGTCGTTCCGGTGCTCTCCGGCATAACTAAACCCCTGTCACGAGAAATATACCACGTGATGACACGTTAGGCTCGTGTTGTGTTCAAGGACCCTGACCTTGGCCAGGAAAAACAGAGGCACTCGCTTGTTTAATTCTTTTGCGGTCTAGATTTCTTTTTTTTGGCGTGTGTTTATAAATGACCTCGAGGGCCGTATCAAATGGTCTCGTGGACCGTATACGGCCCGGAGGCCGGAGGTTCCCCACCCCTGATTTAGGGGCTAATAAAATGTTCAGACTGTGAAGTGAATTTACCCCAAAAGATAAATAATCAAAGATTTACAGACCTCACTTTCCCAATTTAGGTTAATGGGAAATGTTTCTTTGGCCATATGTAGGGTTGGGAACCGAAACTCGGTTCCAGATGAGAACCGATAAGAAAATACCGGGTACCCATACAAAATACACAATTTTGGTTCTGCTTAACGGTTCCTAAACGTGGTAGACCCTGTATTCCACCGGGTCACTGCGGCGCCGGGCGGACTGGCCATCTGTGTGTTCTGGAGAATCACAGAACGGCCGGTCGTCAGCGGGCCGTTGGCAGCCGGCTCCGTACGCTGACGGCTGGCACCGCCCTTGATTTTTTCAAACGGCATCATGTAAGTTGCGCTGACAGGCGACAGAGGTCCACAGTTGCCCCGCAGCGAGGCTCCCCCGCCCTCCAGTAGACGGTTCACGAGCTCAGTCACTTCATAACACCAAAGATGGGTCGCGGTAAACGCTTTGAAGTGAGGCTCCACTACACTAAAAAAGAAAAAGACAAGGCACAGTGCAATGCCTGTTATTAGCTTGCCAAAGGCATAGCTCAGTTAAAATAAAGCACAGCTATTGTGCAATTTGTATTGCATGTATATTTTTTATTTGTAAAAAAGTCAGTTAAAGCTTAAATGAATAAAGATATTTTTGTTACCTAAACGTTTGACCTCTTTATTTTACAATTTTGGAATCGAAACGGGGAATCGATAAGAACCGGAATCGATAAGCAGAACCGGAATCGATAAGCAGAACCGGAATCGATACATTTAAAACGATAGCCATATGACATCATAACACTGACACTGACGTTGTAGTACAACCATTTGGCTACAACAACAATCAGCTTTTGGCAGTGTATAAGGGAAGTATCCGATTCAGACACAGCATGGGTCTCAAATGACACAGCTGGCTCTCTCCAGAGGTGGTGGTGTAGCTACACTGAGCAGCAGCCTCTCCGGGGTGGACCAGTAGCACCACCAACCACACCTCTCATATTTGAGCACAAAGTGTATTGTGTGTGTAAAATATGAATTGTTACATGTCTAATATATGTAATGTAAAGAGCTTTGAGCATCTGGAAAAGCGCACAAATAAATGTAATTAATTATTATTTATTATTAAAATCGGTGTATAAACGTCATGTTGGTGAACAAAAGAAATATCTTTGTTAAAATGAATATGATGTGCACAACTCTAAATACATACACTTGTTTTCAGTGTGTAAAGACACTAAACTGAATAAAGAGGGCACAGACAGTAAACGAAGTAGCTGAGTTTCCGTGTACTACTGTAGGACTTCCTCATTCTTTCAACTTTCTCAGATTCTTAGATCATCTTTTGCCAGAACACACTGACTCGATTCTCCTGAAAATATCTTTGCGCTACAAATGGTTTCAACAGCGAGTGATTGACAGCTGCCTCCGCTGGAATTAGTGCTCAGGTATAACTCTAACACTAACAAACACCATACCTCAGTCTGTGTCTGTTTCTTATCTCCTGTCTGTATCTGGGAGATGAAGAAACACATAAAGTCAGACAAAAGCCATATTGTCCAACTCTGGCAACTGAAAGTGATCCCAAAATGCGCCAAAAGAATGAAAGGTGTTTTCCACAAGCATCTCTTTGACAAATAAGCATTGTTTGAAAATTGGCAGCAGGAAGCTGATTCCTCCTTGCAACACATTCTTTATTATTGTGACCAACACCCAACACCTGACTTCCACCTCCAGTCCTTATTAAACCAATACATTGTTGATGGCATGACACCTGCTCTGCGAGAGGGAAACAGAAAAAGTATGTCTTCACTGTGAAAATAATCCTCAGTGGCTCTTTCTGCAAACACAAACACAACGGACATATGTCTCTCTAGATGTCCATTATATAGTTGTTCACTTCAAACATGTATTGTTAGAAGTATTGTGTCATGTATTTTTTTAAAGAGGGTTTCAAGTAGGATCCAACAAAATGGTAGAAACTTGTTGAACATCATTTTTTTTAGCCTGCGCAATGCCACCTGTTCAAGATGAAGTAAACCATTTCATCACAATCATAATCAGCCCTCTTAAATTGCTGTAGAAAGTTCTGATTGTGAAAAATTGTTCACAAGAGAGTACAAAGACACACACACCTGCTGTCAGTAAGCAGCGGGAAATTAGTAAGGTCAGTGTTCAGAAAATATTCATATAGATAAAAAATATGTAATATTTTCAGAGCAGCGCACTGGGAACACGTGCGCAGTATGTACATTTCAATAGTGTTTCAAAATCTCACACGGCTGTGTCCTCAGTGGAAGTGACCATCGCCGTTGTTAGTTACAGTAGCTAGTTAGTTAGCTCATGTAACCTCTGTCACGTAGCCAAGATGGCTGTCATTAAGTCTAAGAAGTGTGTTATGAGTGCAACATCCGGACACTCATTGTGCATTTTTGCAGTACTTATACACTCAAATCATCAAATGGTAGTACAGAAGTACGCAATTTGATACACAGCACCTGGACGCTGTCTGCCCCCCCCCTTCCCTGGATGAAGATACAGAACAATCAAAGCCAAACAAACAGATTGAGAAATAGCTTCTACTCAAGAACTGTAACCTCTGTTCACCCCCCACTGCCAGAGACAGAAAAAGACTGACTGCTGGGGGCAATTCAAATCACAGTGAGGAAAATATTTGAATTTTCTTAGAAATACGTAACAATACAAGATAAAATACAATTGTTAAGCAAAACTTCACAGTGTTTATGACAATTGTGTTTTGGGACGTTGTACATGGGAGGACCGGACATGTTGAGTCGTGCTTTGATCCGTAGCAATATGAAGCTGGATGAAAAACAGGTTCTTAACACCATGAGCTCTACAGTATGAGCAAACACATACATGTGGTTGTTATTAGAAGACTTACCATCGACCAACTCCCCAAATTCCTGTCCTAAACTCTCTCTCTGTTAAGTGTGTGTGTGTCCGCTGTCAGACAGCTGAGAGCCTGCTGCAGGAGCTGATGTCTGCTTGATGCTTCCTGCAACTACTCCTGCGCACAGTCTCCACATGTCTGATGCTCCTGATCGGTGATACATGCGGAACCAGCGAAAAACGTTGCACTCAAGTATCCTTTATAGTGGTTCTTTAGCACCGGTTTGCACAATGAACTACAGTTGTATTGTACTCAAGTATTCGTCTAAAGAAAAAGGTGACATAACAGAAACAGAAGTGCATTCCTGTAGTGCATATTTAGGATTTGAATCAGGAGGAAGGTAAACAAACTAAATCAATGGTGAATTGTCTGTTCATATTAACAGGGCTGGCTTCTTTAACAGGTTTGAGCAGCAAGCATCAAAGGTGCATTCCCCCCTCGCTCCGTACAGTGGTCAAACCGTCCACTGCAACAGCTTGATGGGGGGAATGATTGAGATGATGGATCCACTCTGACCTGTTGCTGGGTAAACCTTATTCCTTTGACCATACATTGGCCAGGAGCATTCTTAAATGTCACCTATTATGCAAAATCCACTTTGTCATGTCTTTTATACATAAACATGTGTCCCCTCTGTGTAAAGAGATTCTGAAAGTTTCAGGAAAAAATATTTGCTCACTTTTTGTCCAGGTGTCTTAGCAGCTTCAAGAAACACAGGATAGAACAGATATGAATTCACACAAGGAGAACAATTAAATAAATGTAATGTATATAACCAAATTCTGCAGTCCACATTTGAATCTTTTAAAAAGAATTATGTTTGAACAGTGAAATAACACTCATCGTGAGGACTTTGTTTTTTTTTTTTTAACTTGTGCGTACTTCAATCCCACAAACTGAGGCGATTTCTTGCAGAGTTGAAAAACTAAAGTGAGGAACAAAAAAAAGGAATGAAGAAAGGACAGAAAGAGGAGAGGGAGCTTGAAAGTCACGGATCACATGCCGTCACAGAGCTGCATCCAATTTGCCTTTTTAATCACCATTACCAACATTTACTTAACTGTAGTTTACATGTGCAGATATTTGTTTCTCCTCAGGTGATAAGAATGATGTTCATATACAGATGTAGGGCAGCTTTCTCCACAGAGACCATTATTAAAAACCAAATATGGTTCCAGACTCACCAATGAGCACCTACATTTGAGTTCTCGACAGGAAATCTCACTCTATAATAGGGGGAAAGGATGAGAAAAGTGCTGCTCAGTTTTTATCATGTGATGAGGTTATTCATTTTCAAATTAATTGTACGGTGCTATTATCCCT